AATATTGTTTTCTTTTTAAAAATATTATATAAAAATTTTAAATTTTACTTACCTCTCTCTTTGTAATTGCCAAAGCCCTCCGAAATTCTGGGATGGGCTGAATGATGAACACGAATGACTGATTTTGATTGGTCTGAAGTTTTGACTAAGTTTAGGCATTTTGATGCCTATTTAAAACTGCCGAAACCAGTCAAAACGTTTAGACTTTCGACGGATTTAGTTTCGACTTTCGACATTAGCCTATTATGGTTTCGTCCCGCAACTATAAATACATTAAAATGATAAGGTTACATATTATTGGTATTGGCAAGGATTTAGATGATATAGTCGTAAAAGTAAAATTCATTAGTGGATTATTACCTGACAATGAAAAGCGTGTGCATGAGTTTGGGGTTAAAAAACCTTTGTTCGAAATATTCAAACATTTACTTGAGCCTTCTTTTAAACCTACATATTCAGAATACTAATCATCAACCCAAAATGGTAATCTTCAATTCGGAAGAATTTGCCGAGTCACAATGCATGTACTCATGTGCGACAAAAATATGCAGATCACCAGACAGGTTCGTATGACATATTAATTTTCGCATATATATATTCGCTAACCAGTATCTCTATTTTTTCCTCAAACAAATGTGAGAAAAAATGTGAAAGGAAGTCTAGTTGCAACACAGAACCTTCCCTATAAGTAAATAGTGATGACAAAAGCATATGTTAAGAAAGGCTGAAGACTTCGCAATTTCAAGATCGTCAGAAGTAAAACCAACTATGTATCTCCAGTAGATTTCCATGTGAAAAGGTAAAAAGATTTCATTTGCATGTGCTTTCATGAAGCTCTTAGCATCATACGACAATACTAATTACGCCTCATATCTCTTTAACTTCAGCTTGGCGCTCTTTTTTCCAGCCAGATATAAAGCATGTAGGGTATGTGGAAGTTCAGCCAACTTTCCGCAAAAATATTTTTTGCAAAATAATGCAAAATAAGGTATGTATATGCCATAAATTATGTATGTAGTAGAGCGAGTTCTTCTCACTATGAGCTTGTTAACTATAGATAACAAAAACAAATGGCCAATACAAATCTTATCAAACTTAAGTGTGGTTTTCAAGATAAGCAGGATGAAAAAAATTTCGTGATTGAGATTTACAAGAAAGATAAGGTTACCACTCTCGAATCTGCCGTTAAATTTTATTAGCAAATCAGGGTTACCAAGTTCTCTCCCTTGGCTTCAACCTCTATGTTGAAGATAAACTCATAGAATCAACCAAAGAGATCTCTAAGTATTTCGATAAGCTTCTTATTCAAGATCAAGTTCACATTTCCATAAAACCTAAGAATAAATAGTATTTTTTATTCGTATTATGTAGCAATATAGTCATACGAAGTGCCTTAATGGCCAATTTTATGTATTGTAAACTGAGTTCCAGCAACGTTTTTTATTTCTTAAATAAAGTATATATTATGTTCTTATCGTAAATCTTGAAAAATGTCATGTGTAATGATGTAATATAATCTCCTGATATTCATATACTACATCTTAATTGCATATATATATTGGGCAAATGCATTATAAATCGATACAAAAAAAATCTATCATTTCCACCCAAGCGTTGAAACCAAAAATACTTTTATATTCATAAACCAGCTTTACCTGTAACTGTATATTTTTTTGCAAGCACAAGCACACATATATAAATGTTATATCTTTACAAGCTTCTTCACCCACTTCACCCGCCTCAATAATGGAAGAAATTTTCACAAGAACAATGTCGAACGTTGTTAAGGATTTTAATACGGAGGAGCTTATCGAATATTTGGGAAGGAAAGACTTGAAACTCGATGAAGATGATATTAAAATTCTTCGTAAAGAGAAAGTTGCTGGTTGTGATTTTCTTAAATTAACAGAAGAAAAGCTTGAGCGTTATGGAATGAAAGGAGGGCCAGCAACAAGACTTATTATAGACTTTATCGAAGGCCTTAGTCAGAAATTACAAAATTATTCCTTGCTTAAAACTCTCGATGACTTAAAGGAAATGTTGCATAAAAATAAGGTGAATGGGGAAGATATAACAAACATTAAGCAGTTTTCTCCTGGTAGGTAATTAATTAATTTTCAAAACTGACTAGATACCTATATTAACCTTATTTTTTTCTCTGCAGTCTTCGAGGAAATTAATGAAAATGATAAGGCTTTTAATTATTGCATGGATGATATAATTTTAAAATTATCTAATCTGGAAACTATGACTGATGCCAACAAGGCCACGCACTGTGAATTTATTTTAGCTATATTACATGTATCAATTGCCATCACCAAAAAACTCACCTCTCAAGATATATTCATAGTTTTGCAAAAAGATATTTCTGGTGAAGATGCAACAGGCCGAGTGGACTACACAATCAAAAGTCTGGAAGAGTTTCTCTGTATTACCGAAGGGAAATCACGTAATATTAAAATTAGATATGCTTAAGTAAGTCTGCTATCCTTCTAGTATATTGTTTTTAATGAGAACAATTCTAGCCGAAGGCGCTCAGACAAAGGATTATGTATTTTATCTCTTAGAATCTGGCGCAACTTGAAAGTGAGTTCCAAACAAATAAGAAAAAATGAACCACAGATCAAGCATTTAATGAAGATTACTTTGACTATCTTTATGGCATTGCGACCATAGAGGCTGAGTGGCATTTTATTATATATACTCCAGACGGTATTTACTGTGGTAGTGAATACCAGATTAATCTCACAAAATCCGCCATCAAAGAAATCCCGAATTACTTCGAAGCAACGTGAAAAGGGTAATAGGTATAATTGTTGGGCTACTAAAAGATAGGGTTAGTGTTGGTAGTTCCCTAACTAGCAAGAGGGTCAGAATCGAAAAAATTATCAAAAAATAATAGCATAGACGTCATGTATCACAGGCTAGGTCCCGAACATTTGTATTTATTTTTCGTATGTAATAATAAAAAATTTTTTCTTGGCAAAAGTTCCGAAATGGAACTCGCACGGGATTTTTTTATTTGAAGTGTTATCAATGCTGATGAAATTTTAGGTTATGAAAATCACGTTAAGCCACTGTCCAAAAAAAGATTGTCTTCACTATCTCGTAAATGCAAAGCAAACACAAAATACAGTATCGATAAAGTATGAAGAAAAATGGTATTTCATGTAATGTATACTAGACAGTGAAGAGAAACCGTCATTCAAGTTATCAAACCCCTTCTTTGTTGTATATGAAGACGAAGATATGAAAGACAAGGTGGAAAAATCCTTGGTCATATCATTTGGCACAAAAGCTTTGCAAAGTGAAATGACAATCTTGTGGGATAAAAAGTAGTGATGTAGTAACTTCATCATGTATCACAAGCAAATTCCCCAACTCATGATATTTATTTTTGCATGTTATATTGAATTAATAAAATATCATGATTTTTCATAACCACCGCGTGATATCGTGGCTGAAGATAGATTCGCTAACAAATAAAAGAGCTTCGGTAAAAAGTGTTCAGATTGATTACTTGAGAAACATTTATTCTTAGTTCTGAAATTTGACCTTAATACTCATGTGATTTTTGATCGTGAAGACTCTTTACTTGAACCTATAATGTGATAATGTGACATGATGAACACATATAAGTTATATGCTAATATTTCTTGATTATCGAAATATAAAGGTAAGGGTAAGTCGGAGCATTGTTTTATTGTTTTTTATATTCATTAATTTTTCTCCAGAATTTTGTAATACAGTAGATCCGAAGTCACTTCATCACTTGTGTTAAGATAATTTTTTATATATATGTGGAATAGAAACGAAAACGTAGTAGTAGATAGGTGAAAAGCAACATTACTGTAAATAGTATGGAAACTGGGTTAGAGCTCAAGATGTTTTTCTTTTAAATGCCTATTTTATTTATTAATTGGTGCTAACTTATTTACATTCATTTACAAGAAAAATAGTTTCGCTTTGAACTTTTATGTTTTATTGATAGAAAATCCCCTTATTCCTGCAATTACACTTTTTTATCTACATGTTAAAAATATATTAAAATCATAGTAGAGTATATTTCTTAATGGTATTCTGTTTAAAATATTCATCCAAGTATTTACCATCACTACTTTTCAGATTTGGGCTATTACCACCGCTATCAGAATCTGCCGGCAAACTACTAGTGTAGTGTTTTATCTTGTTCTCTATGATTTGATCAAGATTTTCTAGTATATATCTCAGGGATCTGATCTTGAAATTGTCATTCTTTACAACCGGAAGTTTTCATCCACTATATATTTTCTTGTGGTTTCCAGAAACAATGATATTATATCTATGTTTTCGTGCAAAATCAATATAAAGTTCACACAAGTAACAACATCTTTTGGACACTGCTATAAACTCCCTACTATTTTTAATATTATTGTCGATAATAAAGGTCAATATTTGCATTTCTGCATGTAAGTATATGCATTTTTTAACATCATCGCCATCAAGTTGTTGTTGTTGTTTTGTGACTTTATCAGTATACACTTTTCTCAATCTTTCTATTACTTTGGGCTTTTTTGAACAATTATCCATGAAACGTTTATAGGTGTCTTTATCATCTTCATCAATGAACCTTTTGGTAATATCTTTCCATGAGTATATGTGCTGATTATCTATAACAGGACCCTTTGTATACACTTTAACATTAGAGAATAGTAATTTGTATTGTATATTACGTGCACATTCTATGATACCTATCATAGATCCAGCATACGACCCCACTTTCTTAATATGTCCTAAAAATTTTGGAGGGATGTTATTATCATCTTTAACTATCTTATAATACTCGTTACAGACTCGGGATATTATATACATATTATCTTTATCTGCGTCATCAACCTTAGTTGAAAAAAAATCTCTGAAAGATTTAACGTGTCCATTATCATTTTTAATATCACTCTTAAGTTTATCCAACCTCGTCTCAAGTTTAGCAAAACAGTATGAACTCACAGCTCTGGTAAAAGCATTTTCGGTATTGCTTAATATCTTGGGAGCACTTTTTGACATCTCTTTCAAATAATTCTCAATTTCAGCAATATAGTTACTATCGCTTTTGGACCAAGCAAAGTTCTTAGCAAGGTAAATTTCACAGCGACCTGGTAAAACTTTCAATCTTACTGCAACTACTTCTTTTTCTCTTGCAAGTATTGTTGCTAAGTTGTAGGAAAATCTCTCTTGAACATTCAAGGTAGTATCTTCTTTACTTGCTTCACTGACAACAAAGTTGATACATTGAGCAACGCATTCTTTACTATACAATACTTTCTCTAGTTCTTTCGCGTCTTCATTACTATGCAATTCTTTCTTCACTGCCACTATTTTGGTTTTTTTGAGCGCTTCACTGTATAACAATATTTTTGTTCACAGTTTAAGTCTGTCTATTTTTCACGTATATACATAATATAAATAATGATTATACAGTATACGTATCAGTTACATGTGATGTTTTATGCGGTGAAGTATAATAGCATTCTTGATCTGTGTAATAGGTTTAATTTGGCATAATCCCGATCTTCCTTTTTTTCAAATCAGACGTATAATACTTTTTCAGTTTATGGTGCCTTAACGTTTTCATTACTTGACACATTTTATTTTGTTTAGGATTTCGTCAAATCAAAGTTAATGTTGAGAAAATTGTACTAGTAAGATAGTTAGATGACCACAGGAATTAATCATATAGTATCACAGTTACGTATATCGAATCAGCATACATTATATTAAGAATGTGTATGGATGTGCATCGGAAAAATAGAAAAGGTGGTTTTGTATACATAATAGTGTTTGCTTTATTACATGAATGTTTATTATGTACTAACCCACAGATCAAAATTTTTCTTCTGACAGTGACATTTTATCACAGTTTTTTTATCTATACTAATGAACTTTTGAATTATTCCATCTTATATAAAAAATTATTATTGAACATGCAATCCATTGATTCATTGAGAGAATTAAATTCCAAGCTCTTATCTGAGATTGCCGAGCTTAGGAAGGAGAATGTTAAAATTTCTGAACTTAAAAAGGAGAATGATGAGCTTAAGGATAAGAATACTGAAATCTCTGAACTTAGAATGAAGTTCGCTGAGATTGAGGCTGAGAGAGCTGAACTTAAGGCCAGAATATAGAGTTAGAGAAAAATAAGACAGTTACCACTAAACTCGAGTCTGAAAATGCTGAATTTAGAGATAGAATCACAAAAGTAGAACAGAGACAGATGCAAAATGATAATGTTACCAAGGTAACCAATTCTTCTAACAATAGTAACAACAGTTCACCTAACTTCAATTTTATTGCAGAGAATCATAAGAAATTATTGGCGGATGAGAAAATAGATGGTTTCTTTTATGAAAAGGTTTGCTTTAACAAAGAAGAACAGATTCCAGAGGTATCACCTGCCAATATATCTGATTCAGATATAGTTTAGCCCAAACATCATACGCCTGTTTGTGAAGCAAACTTTATTGTACCAGAGTGCCTGCCAGCCCTTCACTTTGCGAAGATGATAGAAAGACCGATGAATTCTTAGACTTGGTGCAAGAAAATTAAGCTTGAGTCAATTAACCAGAACGTCACCTCCGAACCTGCATACGTAGCAGAAACAAATAGTGACGATGGCAACTCAAAAGAGCCAAGCGATCAGAGCATTTTGGAAAAACCAGAAATTTCTGGAAATTTTGTGAATAAAATTCACAATTTTCATAATCAAAATATTGACAAATCTATAGAGGATAACCAGTTGGACTGTAATTTGTCCAAAAATGATTCATCTAGAAATGACGATTTCAATGTTCCTTCTGAGCAGGTAGTAGAACGTGACTTAATGCAACAATTATCTCTTCCATCCACTAGTATAGACACAGAAATTCTGCTCACTCCGCCAGTAATCAATAAAAAAATAGCAATTTTCTGTTACAGCTTATAGGAGGACTTTCACGTGATTGGCCGATTATATTACACGAATTTTGTAGTTGATATTATAAATATTTATACATATCACGTGATATATACTACGCGTTAATATAATTTAACTATTTATTTAGCATTTACATATATAATAAATTAAAGTATTAAGAATAAAACTTTTGTTACAAAAATTAGTTTAATTTATTGATTTTAATGTAATAGTCTTAGTTTATGTAAAAAAATAAAATAAAATAAAATAAAAATGTAAAAATTTATTTTTTATTGTAATTAAAATGCTTCTTTAAATAAAGTTGTCCTTTTTTTTTAACAATCTATTATTGTTGAAATTTACGCAATGCCTCCTCTAATGTATACACTACATATTTTATGGGTACACTTTTATCATCATCATTATATGGGGTATTATTTTCCAGACCTTCAACTTCGGCTCACTGTTCTTCTTCAAAACGATGCAAGCATTCTAATAAAGAATGAACATGTTCATCAATACCATCTTATAAGAATGAGAGGCAATGCATGCACTTGAATCCATTGTCGGTATAGCAAGATTTGTGATAAGTGTGATCGCAAGCCAAAACTTTAATAGAACCTATATTAAGTAATAAAGAAATAGAACAGTTAGATGCATCACAATATTATAATGGATCTGGTCTATGTAAAGTATTAAACCCTAAAGGAAGATGGCATAATCGAGCTTCTGGCATTTTCATCACTATTAATGAAATGGAAATTTCATTAATTTTTTGACGTTTCTTCGAAGGTGGATTTGGATTCATGGGAACCTGTAATGGAATTATTAATGGCAAATTATTGTGAAATACACGTGTATGGATTTTTGAAAAACATTGCAAAAGAAAACATGCACTTTTCTTTATTAAGAATGTAATATCTCAGGAAGAATATTCGTAGATGACTCACGTAGATGTGTGCGTGATGTTTTCTCTAAACCCATTATCGTTCAAATGTAGCCGGTTGATATACGTCCGTATTTAATGATCTGCTGTGCCTCAGTATATTTCTGAGTGCTTTGACGTAAAAAGCTGTGAAATATCTCTACAGTCGAATCTGAAAACTTTGGAAGTTCAGCAATAATAGTATCTAATATAGGATGTTTGTTTAACTCCCAGTTGAATATATCTGAAAGAAACATTAATGGAGCTTTAGTATAGTTTTTGCGGCGGAATTTAAGAAACACTACCCACACACAAAAACATGATTCTAAATAGGCATTAAAATCACCGGATCAGAAAAATACTGCATAGACATCAAGAACTAGAGGAATAAGATTATCAAGCAAGTCTTTTAGTGCAAGTTATTTAGCATCTTTGCATAGGGTCCAAATTTTGTTTCAACACTCGTCGAAATTTCCTGCTAAGCACTGCGAGAAATCTCTAAAAGGAGATTAATATGCCATGGTTTGGGCTTTTGCGCAAAAGGCCTCTATTCTCCAAATATATATTTGTACATGGCTGAAAAAAAAGGTCAATATTGAAGGAATATTAATTCTCGACTATTCAACGAGATGTGCAAGGGACCTATAATAGGAAGGAATGATAAAATAGAATTAGTAATATTCGATTGATCACGATATAATATATGACGAGAAATAGCTGTCCTAAGATAAATTTATTCAGGCCAATCAGCGACAACAGGGATAATATATCCTTTTTGAATATACTGCTATAGAGACGGAACATCTACAACAGCATTAATAGCTTTAATGTATACATTTAAACCATGAAGATTATTCTCTTGTAAATCTATAAGGACAACATCTTTCATTAAATGGGCGATACGTTTCTCTTTCAGTCTAATGTCATAACTATGTACAGTCAACTCTTCTAATCTAGTATTATCATCAACTGAATGAAATCCCCAACGTTGGTTATGCGAAAGACCGAGAAGCATCATGAATCTATTATTCAAATTTAGCTTTATCAACTCAGCATCGATCAATCCTAGATTGTGTATATTTACATTCGAGATTGCACATTGTATAGTGATCGGATTCATTAAAATCGTTGCCAGATGTGCTACAGTAGAAGTAGTAGTTGTGTTTGGTATCCGCTTCATACAGATACTATGGTAATCGTCGATGTTTAAGATCATGGCCTTCTCTGCATATTCCGCAAGCGTAGAATTGACAGTTTTAGAATGGTCATCGGAGATTGTAGTCTTGTGTCGAGTGATTGTTCGGGATATTATAGTTACGCCTAGATCAGCAAGAGTATCTATGGAGGAATTAGAAACACCGATGGAATCCAAGTATATTGTCAAATCTATCTTTGCATCATTAACAAACTTGTTATGAATTCCGCAAAGAAAGTAACATATAAATAGGAACTACTTTTTCGCTCGAGCTCGCGATATTTCATTTTTTGAAGAAGGGTTAGATGAAATATATAGCTCATCAAAAAAACCTTTAATCTTACATCTTCCCCTTTCATAACTGCACGAAAATCATCAAACGAGTAAATTGTTGGTTTTTTCTTCTTATTTTCACGAATATATAAAATTTTAGTTATTATTCCTATTGCCTCAGAGAAGAATAAGACAGAAGGTGGAGGTGGCAGTGACGAAAGTGGAGGTAAAACCAGAGGTGGAGGCAGAGGTAGAGGTGAAAGTTCTATACCAGATTAAGCATGTTGTTGAAATACAAGTGAATGGTTTATCACAATTCTATTATAACAGTCTAAGCAGATCATATCACCTATTTGTAAATAACTTGGCAAAGTATTGTTAGTTTGACCCTTTGCAATAACATACTCGGTTACCTTTTTCCATTTTATTGACTTCTGGCTTTGGCATATTGTAATTACATAAGGTCCGGTATACATACTTACCTTCTAAGTAAAGTATCTCTAAAATTGGGATTATTTTGGGATTATTTTGCACAGCAAATGTAAACACACCTTTGAAGCTAAGAGAAAAAAAATTTTTTATTTTTATATGTGAAACGTTACATTCTCAAAAAGTATTCTAAACTGTATAAATAATGTACCAATCAATTAATTAGGATCAGCCAATCACGTGAAAGTCCCTCTATGAAGCACGTAATGTATTTTGCTGATATTATCTAAAAATAGTTAGATTAGTTTTCGCAAAAATTTTGTTTTACATAAAACTTAACTTAAATTCCCTTTAACTTTTGAAATCATTTTTCTATAAGAATGTTTGCAAGCTTTACAAGTTTGCTTAGGGTTAAAAGAAAGGGTTTAAAATTTATTAACTTACATATTGTATTTTTTAAGTTATTTTATAAAGAAATCTGTATTGAAAACAACAATTTCTTTTCTAAATAAACTTATAGAGAAGTCAAAAATTGCATATAAAATGCAATTTTAAAATTTATGTAGTACCTTTACTAAGTTTTATTCAAAAAAAAATAAATCATTATACTAAAAAACTTTAAAGTGATGCATATCATGTGATATAATTTTGTGATTGATAGAAAATATGAATAATAATTAGCTATAAAATGAGATTGAAAATAAGATCATATGATAAATATAGCAGCATAACAGATTTTGGTATATCATTTGCAAAAAAAAAATTTTTTTTGAGTAATTTTCTTATGAAAGAAAAAGAAATTCAATATTGAAAAAAAAGAATAGAAAGAATAAATAAATATATATATATATAATTAAAAATCCCAAAAAATAAAAATGAAATATAATAATAATTAAAAAAAAAAAATAACTATATTTTTTTTTTTTAAAAAATCCTAACATTAATGTTTTTTGCTATTATTTCTATACTTTTGATTATAATATTAATATCAAATTTTAAACAAAAAATAAAAGTGTCCTTTTGATGTTAATTTTTAGTTGAAATGAGATTTGTATAATTATGCAAATGGTGATATTTAGAAACCTTTTGCATGTTATTTTATGAAATATTTGAAATCATCAGAAATCAAATATTTAATAAAAGAAAATATTTCTAATAAAAATAAGATATAATCATTTGACTTATATTATGCAAAAATCAAGATTTCTTAGATATTCTCTAAACATGATTCAAGTAGAATAATATAAAAACTTCTTTAATTATATATAACCTTTATTAGAAGTTAATAAAATAAAATAATCAAAGATCATTAGTAATTTAATCGAAAATATAACTATCAAAATTACTTATCTCTAGTAAACTAAAACATATGAAAGTAATAAATATTAAGCATAAAGTTTATGATTCTATAAAGTTCTATTTTATTGGAAATTCCAATTTAAAATTGAATATTTTAGAATTCATTTTTTATTTAATAGAGTAAGATTATTTTGTTAAATAATATCAAATCCTTTAATGATCTACTAAAAGCATTGTATTTGCATATTTAAAATAAATAAAGAAGTTCAAGTATTATAGATGATTAACACTTATAGATTCTATAAATTCAATGATAAGTCTAACCAGTATGATTAATATTTATTTATTCTTGATATTTGTAAAATTTAAGAATACTAGAATATAAGCATCTGTTTTTTTGTAAGTAGTAAGAATGAAGACATAATTGCAAAAGTATTAAAGATAATTTGTAATAAGAATTGCTATTAGTCTTTCTATTATATACTTTTAGATCAAAATAATATCAAAGTCAAAAGTATTAAAATGACTTTTTTGGTATACTGTTAATGAGCAAGAATATAAATGCTTCTTTGTGTTATTTAAGCTATAAGAACGTGAATACAAATAATTTATGAAAAAGAAACTTAAGATTTTATGATTTAAGTGATGTATAAAAGATAACAATTAACTATGAAAGCCTTATTCTAAATGCTTTCAATCAATATATTATTCCTACTATACAAAAATATATCAAAAATTAGAAGAAAAATATACAATAATAAGATTTATATGTCTGTCAATATTTCCCTTTGTTTTTATAATTTAAATCTATAAATCTACTGGAATTTTTTATAATAATTTAAAGAGAATAATATTATTTTTATATAGTTCA